ACCCACCCTGCAAGTGCAATGCAGGAGAAGGTACAGTTCCCATCACGACCCAGCAGCAGGTACATGGGAAGAGAGAGGTCCTTCGTGGGTCTGGTGGTGTCGTCAGTGGGGTAGGGTAGGGCACTGGATGGCTGGCTTCCCCTCTCACTCTATAGGCTGGAAGATGAAAAAATCACTAATCCTGACGCTTGCCAAGTGAAAAGTCCATTCCGCTGATCCTGACGTTGTTCTCCTGGTACAAATCCACGTAGCTCTGTGCGATGAGTTCCAGCCCCTCCCCAGCCCTTCGGTGCTGGGCAGTGATCAGTAATTCCCAAGTGTGGATGTGGCATGTGGGTACCTCTCCCAGGCAGGTGTGTGGGCACCAGGGTCAGCGGGGGACCTCAGAGGCCGGGAGCTACAGCAGCTTGACGTAGTTCTGCGGAATCAGCCCTCGCTTGCCATTCAGAGTCCCTTCTAGCCAGCCAGGTTCTCTTGAGGTTTGTACTGAAAAGGAAGAGAAGTCACTTTTTAGCAGCATGTCTCCCCACCCCCCAGCTCTTGCCTCTCAGGTGTTCACAGTGCAGTTGTGTCCCCAAGACTCCACCATGGAGTGGCAGCATGAACGGAGCTCACCTATCTTCCTATAACAGACTCTAACTGGTCCCCTCCTTCTAATCCATTGCACACAGGGCTGCTCAGTGAACATTCTGGAACACAAGGCAGTGCACGTCATTCCCCAAGCTTCCTGATGATCTGTCCACAGCTCCAGCAGCCCCTCACGCTCTGCTAGCCAGTCCTCCATGTCAGCGGCAATGGATCATCACAGAGAAAACCAACCGGACACCAGACCTTTGCCTGTGCCCTGTCTTCTGCTGGAAATACCTTCCCCACCTCTTCACCAGGGAATGCCTCCTCCACCAGGAGTCCTCCCTAACCTCACAGGCATCACCCAGGCACTGGCCTGAGCTCCTGAGGAAGGCCTGGGCACAGTGCTGGCATACTGAAGGTGTCCATAAATACTCATGATAGACACAAAAGAATGACCACAGGCTCAGCGAAGGGCACAGAGTCCAAGTCCTCATCACCAGGTTTTGAAAGCAAACACAGAAGCATTTAATAGACCTCAGTGAGGCCCAACCATGGCCAGGAGCAAGAGTGGCAGCCATGTGCCTCAAGGAACAGGGGTGCTGGTCCACAGAGCAATTCAGGAGCCCACTCTCAAATCTGCTTCTGTTCACACCCCACAAGAACTATTCTGGAACAAAAACCAAGTGTGCACTTGTGCACGCGCACACACACACACACACACACACACACACACACACACACCATCTCATGAAGCACGATTTACCCTCAGTTCTTCTATTATTTTGTGACTACAGACTACAATTCAGCGAACTGAATTCATGGCCACTAATGTGTAATAACCTCCAGTTTGGAAGGATCCAATTCTAATTGTTCTTTTCCAGTTGTTCTTCCTTTGGAAGAAGAAAGTCTATGTATATGCTAGCTGTCAGCATTACCTTCTGACATTTCCTTATATTCACCAAACTTCTGGCCTCAGAGCTTCTACGTAGTTGTTCCCTCAGTCTTGAACCTTCTTCTCACTCAGCCTGTGCCTCTGATATCAGCTGGGACGTCCCCTCCCCCACACTCAAAACCCCATGAGGGGCCCCAGCCACACAGCCCACATGTCCTATGTGTGAGAAAGAACTGAGACTCTCCTGGTCTGGCTTACAACATGAGAGCATGTCACATACACGGAACATGGGCACACATGTTCCCCAGCACCTGGCACACTGCCAGACACACAGTTATTTGCGTAAGAAATGAATAAAGAAATGAGTCAAAGATGTGCTCTCCAGGTGACCTGACAAGAATCACTGTCTTCATACCCTCCAAGACCTCAACGAGGTTTTTTATTTTTTTTTTTCATTTTTCTTTTATTATTCATATGTGCATACAAGGCTTAGTTCATTTCTCCCCCCTGCTCCCACCCCCTCCCTTACCACCCACTCCGCCGCCCCCCTCAATACCCAGCAGAAACTATTTTGCCCTTATCTCTAATTTTGTTGTAGAGAGAGTATAAGCAATAATAGGAAGGAACAAGGGTTTTTGCTGGTTGAGATAAGGATAGCTATACAGGGCATTGACTCACATTGATTTCCTGTGCGTGGGTGTTACCTTCTAGGTTAATTCTTTTTGATCTAACCTTTTCTCTAGTACCTGTTCCCCTTTTACTATTGGCCTCAGTTGCTTTAAGGTATCTGCTTTAGTTTCTCTGCGTTTCAACGAGGTTTTTTAAAAGCTTCATCCAATGCACACTTCTGATGGCAAAGCAGGCATCATGGGGAGAACTGGATTCTATGTAAAAAGGACCCTCGGGGATGTGACTATGTGGCCTCCTGAGCAGAACAGGACCAAGGCTGAAGCCAGAGGCCTAAAGGATACTCCTGGCCAATGCAGGTCAGCTGGTGCACCTGGAGATCCATTTAACTCTCAGGGATCTATGCAGAACCAACTTGCATGTGCTTGTTGTTTCTATACACACACATACACACACACACACACACACACACAGACTCCGCATGAACAAAAGGCTGGCTAGAAGAGGAAGAAAGGTGACTTCCATGATGGTAATGAAAGGGAGGCTTGGCTGGAAAGTCCTCCACATCCCCATACATCACCTCCCAGGCCTCGCCTCTCTGAAAGGTCAAAGCCAGTAGGGAGAAAGATGTCACTGACTTACGAGGGGACCAACGAGACTTCTTGTAATCCTAAGAGCCTCAAAGTGGCCAATGACGGGCAGTGGGTGGGTAAGATGGAGAGTCTGGAACACAGCTGGGCATCCCAAATACCAGGTGTAGAGGCTTCAGATGAGGACCAAATGTCTCCCTCCCACTTGGGACATCAAACCCCAAATCCTCATCCCAGGCTCCAGTCTACACTTAGTTATTCAACTGCTCCCTCTAACAGCAGTGTGATGGCTAATTTTATGTGTTAAGCTGGCTAAGCCATGGTGCCCGGGTATTTGGTCAAACATTATTCTAGATAATTCTGTGAAGATCTGGTTAATTATTCTGGATGTTTAGATGTGATCCACAGTTAAATCAGAAGACTGGGATGAGGCAGGCTTGGCTCTGTAATGCCTCTGGCCTCATCCAATTAGTTGAAGCTCTTAGGAAACAAAGACTGGGGAAATTCTGTCAGCCAATGGCTGCCCTTGAACTCCAACTACAGTCCTACCTTTAGCCTCCAATCTGCAGGTGTTGGAATTGCCAGCCCCACAATGCTTAACATCAGCCAATGAGCCCCTTCCTTTTCCCCCTCCCTCCCCAAACCTGTACCCTGTCACACTCCTATACCCTTTATGGGGAAAATGCTGACCTCCCAGGAAGTTTCAGGAGAAAAGGAGCACCTCATGTGGGGGAAGACTTTGACTCAAAAGACAGGAGCTAATGAAATGAGGTGGGTTTTACAGTCTGAGTTCGGGGCTCCTCACTGAGTGGGCAATGTGAGATGATTTACACAACCTCTCATAGCTGTGGTGATCATTTCTAAAACAGGCTCAATGACAGCTCACTAGGAGTTGCTGCAAAGATTAAAATGAGACCAACTTTGCCCTGGCTGGCCTTCCACTTGTGATCCTCCTGCCTCCACTTCCTGGGTACCTGGAATGACAGGCATGGTTGACCACGCCAGGATTAAAACAAGACAATTTACATCAAGTATGGGAGCAACACATCATTTCCACGTCCTACCCAGGTAAGGAAGTAAATATATCATGTCAAAAGCCAAAGTTCCCCTATCCATCATCATTCATTCAACCTGGATCTCCATGGGATGAGGCCCTTTGGGCTCCCCATTTCAGTGCCTTCCTGCAACTTCTTGGGCCTGAACGCCATGCTCAGCAAACACTCCACAGAGGTGTAAAGACAAGGTCTTCATTTTTGCTGCATCACTACTTAATTTTCCTACTTAAAAGTTGAGTAGCATGTGAGTATGCTGCTGTACCAAATATGACTTTAATAAACACACCAGCCAGTAAGAATCACCCTAAATATCCACCTAGTGATAAACCAAAGCAATTTACATTTTTATGGCTGGGCTGGAAGGGCATTATAGATAAAACTGATGGGAGCAGAAACGCAGCAGGGCCTCTCAGCTTCTAAGCAGTACTGGCCAAATCACCTGTTGACGGCAGTGGTCTTGATGACCTTCTGTCTGAAAAGGTTCCAGGACTGCATGAGACTGAATCCAGGAGCTCCAAAATCCTTCTTTGAGAAAAGACTTTGCCCTTTCAGGACAACCCTTCCCGCAGCTGGTAGCTCAGCCTCTACCATTGGTAGGGTTGGTACAGGTCCAGAGCACCCAGGGAGTCACAGGGGACAGGAGGGCTCGAAGGGACCTGCATGGCATCACCTGCCCTCACCCAGGAGAAGGGGGTTATTTTTTAGTCATGTTACTTTCAAGGAAAATGCAGACACTGGCAGTATTTTTTAGCTGTCATTTAGGTCTCCAGTTGCTGTAGTCTAGTTTCAGGCCACAGGGCCTGGGGCTCCTAGGACACTTCCAGCCCCTGCCTCCTCAAGTTCCTGCCCCAGATGTTGCAGAGGCTTTCCTGAAAAAGTGAGTACAGAGAGGAGGTCCCAAGGCTTTCCACAGCTCACCTCTGAGAACTTACAAGTTCATTCACTAATGTACCACCTCAGGGCAGGGCCTATCATAGCAGGGGCCCAAAAGCAGGGCTCCAGAGGTGAGAATAAGAATGATCTGGAGAAGATGGGGGCAGGGGAGGAGGTCCTCCACAGAGAACTGTCTACTGATTGGCAGGGTGTCTGCTTTTCCATTTTTATGGGCAAGGGGTCATGGTGCTCTAAGTTTCTGCCATTCCCCCAAGGACCCTATTCTGTACACAGGTCTCCAGGTAAGCTCTATTAAAAAAAAAAAAAAAAGTATCTAAGAATCTTCCAATCTTCCTACTCTAGAACTCTAGAAGTTTCTCAGAAATGCAATCACATGATAGATGGCCCTTCAAGATTGGGCATGTCTTTAAGGTTCACCCTTGCTGTACATGTGTCAGAATTTCTTTCATTTGATGGCTGAATACTATTCCTTTGTGTGTATACACCACATTCTATTCATCCATGTATCTTCTTACACACATTGGGGTGTTTCCACTTTTAGAAACTACTTTTTGGGCTACTTTCCACCTTTTGGGCTATTGCGAACCCTGCTACTGTGAACATGGAGGTACAGATATCTGTTAGAACCCCAGCTTTCACTTCTTTTGAGTATATATCCAAAAATGGGTTGCTGGATCATCTAGTGATTCCATGATTAATTTTTTGAAGAGTCTCCATTCTGCCTTCCACAGTGGCTATGCCATTTTAATTCCCAACAGCAGTGCACAGGGTTCCCATCTCCCCACATCCTCACCAATTATCCTATCTTTATTTCTCTTTTACTAACAGCCATCCTAATGGGTGTGAAGTGGCAGCTCACTATGGTTTGCCACTTCATCCCAAGATTGCCCATCCCATAACAAAAGGGACCCTGGAGTTGTAACAATAATTTGCGAGAAGTTATCTCCAGCACAGAATCTAGACTCAAGATTTTTTGGCTTTGTTTTTAGCATAATATAAACGATGAAAGTGAAAATATTTAAGACATTGAGGCTTCATCAAATACAATGAATGCCAGGAACCCATGTTCAATGTAGGAACTGCAACATGACGCCCATGGAGGTTTGGGTCAATGGGCACAGAACTTTTCCTGGCCCGGGAGATCAAATATTTGTTTCTCTTTCTCTTACCCCAGCTACGGTTAAAATACAAGTCCATATCCCAAATCATATACTATTTATTTTTACCTGTTTCTGAGCTTAACAAAGATCACATACTGTAGAGTTATCTGGCACTTGATTTTTTTTTCTGCGATCCCCTTTTTAGGAATATATCTAGAAATAAAATCACTGGGTTGTGAGGTCTATGTATGATCAACTTTCTACCATAACACCAAATTGTTTTTCAAGGATTATTCTGTGTATTTGAGACCTTTAAATTTTAATCACCAGAGGCTTTTAAGGATTAATCTGGGTCACTCCAACTCCCCAAGCAATGGAGACATAACGTCTCCATGTGCAAGCCAACACAGGACCTGGCCCGGCAGGAACCGTGCCTCACCAACGAGAGTGGGCTTGCTCTGAGATCCAGCGCCCACAGCTAGGCAGCCCTTGGGAAGCAACCACTTCCCACCTGAGTAGAGTTTGGCAGCTGCAGGGCTATCAGTAAAATGTATTCCTGAGATACCCCAGGCCCAGAGAAAAGCAAGGAAGGTCCCTCTGGCAGTGACAGGAGCATCAGCTGCCCTGAGCTAATACAAATACAGTAGATTATGGAAGGCATTTCCCAGAACTACAGAAACAAATCTGCAGCCAAGAATCTGAAGTCATGACTTAAGTCCAGGCCCTGAGTGAGAGCAAAGAGCACAGAACAGTTCCAGAGCGGCCCCTTTCCCTTCCACACTCTGGTTTAGGGTTTCTCACCGTTGTGCATACCACAAACCATGTAACTATTGGTGGTGCAGCCAATGGGTCACTCTGACCTGGATTTTGTTTCCTCCAAAGGCCACTGAATGTCAGACACTAGTTTCCTTCATTGCACTGCAGGATCATGTGGAAATGCTGGAAGATTCCCAATGGATAAGTGACCACAGAAAAAATGTCTTGGGTGTTTTGGGGACACTAAGTGTCACTGGTCTGCAGAAAGGGAGTGTCTCTGGTGACATTCCTACAGGCTGAGCTGTAAATAGTGGCCACTTGGAGTACTGCCCAGCTCCACAGAAGCCAAGGTCATAGGATCAAGCATAGGACCTGCCTGTCTTGCTCCATGTCAGTCATCAAAAGGGAAGACCCCATAGTCATTCCAGGAAGGGCTTTGCCAGCCATGTTGTGAGCAAGCACAGGCTTTTAACTAGTTGAAAGACGATGAAGGTGCAAACACACAAAAGAATGCTCCCTGCTTACGGACCTTTGACTAACTTACAGTGGGTGCCCTTTAAGAACTGTCTCTAAGGAACAGCATGGGTCACAGTGCCAACTCTGAATGCCTTCTACTGAGCTCATGTGCACCACACGAAAGAACCAGGGAGGCAGCTGAGAGACACACAGCTCGCAGACAATGAGACGTTCGTGTATTTGGGTAGGGAGAAGGCATCAACACACCAATGAGGCATTTTTGGATTACAGAGCCTTGGGGGAGGGAAAGCAATTACCAGCCAGCAAGTCTAGACAGAGCTGGACACCAGCGCCACAGGGCGCCTAGTCTCTAAGGGACATGACTTGGCTGAAAACAGCCATACTACCATGTGCCAGTGTGGTGTGACAGTCAGCCACATGCCCCACTAAAGTCTATGGGACACTCAGACCCTGTCTTCCTGCAGCGCCACGTGCCATCTGGGCAGACGTTCCTCCAGACTGCGGTGAAGAGCCTGATGCATACAGAACTTAAGGAACTTGTGCAGGCCACCAGAAAATGAAGAGGCAAAGTCTGATCTCAGACAAAGTCACTGCAGAGTTGATAATGCATGGCCACATGCTGTCACACTTCCTCCTTTAAAACCACATGGAGATGCCATCATTACGTGTGTGCACACATACACATAGGTATCTCTGTGCACATTCACACATGTGTGTGTTTTTCCCTCTCTCCTCCTTTTTAGGAAGACTCCTGCAAGTCATTGAGGGACTTTAAGGAAGCTGGAGAACTTGGGCCTCTTAGGGCAGCCACCTCCCAGCCTCTGCCTTCATCTATGCTAGTAGACCAAGATTTGGTTTAGCCTCAGAAACATGGCTGTGTGACCAAAGGAGATGTCATGTGCTTGATGTGGTTCTCCTGAGCTAAATCCTTATGAGTGATGGGTTTACTGTGAGCATTTGACTCAGTTCTGACCACTGAGAAGTGAGGACAAGTGAAGCAAGTTCTGGAAAAGTTTCTCATTATTAAAGAGGAGCACAAGGATGAGATGTCACCTTTTGCAGGAGTCAAGTGTGAACTGGAACTGTGGTAGCCATCTTACCTCTACCAGGGACCATGGCCAGAGGCCCACGGCCACAGCTGAAACCGTCCAGTAGAGAGCTAGGAATACTTTGGTCTTTGATGACATATTTAATTACCAACCCTAGAGCACCCTGCTTCCACACTTAATATCCTGTAAGCCAACCCATGACTGATTTAGCCATCTGGGTCCATTTTTGTTACTTGCAGCCTAAGGCATCCTTTATGATGACCCTCTACCAAACTAATTATCTCACAAATAATACCACACAGGGGAGTTCAAAAGTGTATCACCATTTCTTGAATGGGTGAGTCTCACTACAACCATCTCAGGTTTTCCTTCTGCCGTCTGCTGGACCCACCTGTGACAGGCCTGAAGTAGGGTGGCAGGGTGACCACGGTCTCCTGACAATGCTGAATGGATGCATGACAGAGGAATCCTGCTTCACTTCAAGACCAAAAACTCCCCACAAAGTAATTCTGTTGTATATGGAGTGCTGTTGTTTGTTTTCTGATGCTACTGGGAATCTCTGGCTCTCAGAAGTGTGTACCACACACTTATAGAAATCTCTTCTACATGAAACAAGTCCTTTCTAAAAGAAAATCCCCAGCAAATGCTGCTTTGCTGACAACACACCATTATGCCCTGTGTTGACGTATTCCAGACTCCAAACATTCTAAGGCATCAGCCATTCCCACCCAAGCTTCCCTCTGCTCCCCCACAACTCTTGTGGGAAGCTCCACCCACACACCCCACATCACTGTTTCCACAGCAACCAATGAATTTCATAATGAGCGGGACTAGGGAGGGAAGAAATCAAGAGCGAGGGGAAGAAAACACATGCACTAAGCCACAGGAGCAATTTGTGAAATACTAAGCCAGGCATAGCTCCTAAAGGTCTGTGTGTGAATATTACACACTCAAAAGATCCCCACCGTGTTTCAATAGGCAGTCAATACCCACAAGTGAAGCTTCACACACACTGTTGACGTTGGCAAAGAGGAAAACATGGAGTGGTTAGGGGATAAGACTCAGAATGTTTTAAGCTTAGGGCTCTCCTCTAAGAATACAGATTTGTAAACCTGAAGCACTTAGGGGGCTTGCTTAGGGAATTTGGAGAACTGAAAAATCAAAGGGTGTGATTCAGAAATATTTCTTAACTCCAAGTGGTACTGACTTCTTTCCATCAGGAGAAATGACCTGGATGAAGAGAGCAAGCAAGGCAAAAGCAAAAACCATAGCCTAGCCACCAGCATAGCCCCTGGATCAGGCAAATAGGTCAGCTCTTCTTCTCTGAAGTTTCAGAGTGTGGTTGCAACCAGTGACAGCATGCTCCATCGAAGGTGTCCTGGGGTGACAGAACATATCCCACCACGAGGCTCCCAATGCCACTTACCATCCTCAAAAATTGCTCCAATTTCAAAAGATAATTCCGAGCTGTGTTCTGCCTCACAGGGATACACTGCTCGGGCCTTGCGGTTGATAAGGCTGCAGAGAGAACATGAAGGATTCCAATGAACACATGAATAACTGGGAGAGAGAAGTTTCATGGGCCTCCCGCTCCCATTCCCCAAACCTCATTTATGTCATCAGCAGGGAAACTCCTTCAGAAAAAGAAGTGAACAGGGTGTGAACCCCAGGCCAGGCCATAGCACTTGATTTCCAAGTGAGTGATGGGTTACCAAGGTGAAATGGTCCTCAGGGAGCCTCTCTGGGCAGCTGTCACTGAGCCACTTCAACTGGCTCTGCAACCTGCCTGGTGGGATGTCCTCTCCTATCGCTTAGCACCACTGGAAGCACAAGCCGTGTTTACCCGGTGAGCACTTTAGTTGTGTCGGGAAAGAGACCAGTGAATGAGACACTGGTCAGGAGGGGAGGCAAGTGGCCCACACATACCAACTGGGTCCTCAGTGAGTCACTGACCCAATCCATGTGCTGTGATCACCTCTCCCACAGCGCCCAGGAAGGGACTTGATCTTACTGGGGTCTTGTCTATTCAGACTTCCTAGCCCAAGAACGGTACACCAGGCTCATCTTCTCCCATGTGTCAAAACATCCTCGGTGCCCTCATGGGAGAAGGGCACACTGGGTAAGGATGGAAACTACCCTTCAGCCAGATCCAAACAGAGGCAGAAGGAAATGTCTCACGCTCTTCACTAAAGCAGGGGAACCCACTAATGCTAAGAACCACCTCAGCCCACACCCTGGCCAATGGGCTTGCCGAAGGCCAGCTCCTCTGTCTTCTACCGTATTGGTCATTAAGTGGCCACAGGAGGACCAGTTTGCCTTCCTCTAAAACAAAGAATGAGCCTTACATTCATGCATAAATCCTTTTTCCCAAGTAACTAGTTTCATAAATGAAAAACTGGCACCAAAGACAAGAGTAGGTTGAAGCAGGTCTCAAGAAGACACGTTTTTCTGAAGAATAAACAGTTGGCCCTACACATCGTGAGCTGTGCATCTGCAGATTCAACCAACCATGCATAGAAAATATGAAAAATAAAAACCCTGCATCTCTACTGTGCAACACTGTACAGGTTTCTTCTCTTGTCACTATTCCCTCAATAATACAGCAACTATTTATACAGCATTTACATTATATTAGATGTTATAAGTTATCTAGACTTGACTTAAAATATACAGAAGGAGGGGTATAGGTTATATGCAAATACTACATAGCTTTATGTAAGACTCTGGATGATTTGAGTGTAAGGGGTTCTGGAACAGTTCCAAGTGTATCAAGGGATGACTGTGGCACAGTCCCCCACCCAACACAAAGGTGTAAATGTTCTCTTTGGGCTTTATTTTTATTAGCATACATTAATTGTACATAGAGAGGGCTTTCACTGCAGTAATTTCATACATGCACAAAATGTACTTTGATCATATTCATCCCCTCTTTTACTTTTTTATCCCTCCTCCACTTTACTCCCCTCCCCTTTTAATTTTCTTGCAAAATTTTTTAAGTGGGTTTCATTAGGACTTTTTATTTTTTTAATATGTGGTGAGTTGTCCATCAAGTCCAGAATGTCAGGGGAACCTGGGCAAACCTTTTCTAGCAGTGAACACAGGTTTTATGGAGTCCCTCTGTGTGGCACTACCATATTCCTCAAGGTCCTCCAAACCACGCACCTTTCAGGCAGCTCGTCTACGATGGAGGCAGCAGGAGAGAAGGGGAAAGGTGGTGACCTGGGTGAAGGAGGGGTAACAGCTGGGTTGGAGCTTGGTGTGCTCGGAGACTGAAGATTAAGCCACTGGACCATAGATGGTCGGGTCTGGCTTAGCCTAAGGATGGAAGTTGGAAGGACAGGATTAATGATACAAAGGTCACAGGACACTAAATAAACAAGAACCCAATGCTAAATGGCCAAGGTGCCAGCTCCCATCTCTCCAGACCAACAGGGACAGTCCTCTGAACCCTTCCAGGGCTGTAACCCAAACCGTTCCAAAAGGAACCACAATCCCAAACTAGAGATACACTGTACTTTTCCAAATTTGTAGAAAATCCAATCTTGTCTATCCTAGTGTATCAGTTCATTAGTTAAGAGAACCAAATGCTCAAAATAGTGGCTTGGCCTTCTGCAACCCAGAGGCTCCTTGACTTACAATGAGGGGGTTACATTTTGATAAACCCATTTTCAGATGAAAATACTATACATTGAAAATGGATTTAATGCACCAAACCTCCAGAACAGCCTTGCTTAGCAAGACATTACATTGCAGAGTATCAGGGATTTCCCCTGGTGATCACATGGCTAACGGGGAGCTGGGGCTCTGCACTGCTTCCAGCATTGTGAGAGGAACATCCTTCACCACCACCTGGCCAAGAAATGACCAAAATTCAAAGGATAGCTCCTACAGAATGTGTATCACTTTCACACCTTCATAAAGCCCCAAAATCCTAAATTGAACCTCTGTAGGATGGGGACTGTCTGTAAAATTTCTTCTGTTTAGAAGAAAAGTCACAAAAATCTAGAGTCAAGCCAAAATGTTTTAGAGTTTAAAGCTTTTTCATCTGGTCACAGGTGTGCGGCAACACAGAAAACAAAACAAAACAACACTAGCAAGCAGGATTCCTCTAGAAAGGGCAAAAGACCAGAGATTAAGGAAGAGATCAACGAACAACAAAAGATCTTTGGTGACCTGAACATTCCTTCATATCTCCCAAGTTTAAAAAAGTTAACAAGGGCAGTGAACAGACTCCTAGAAGGATCTCTAAATGCATAAAAACGTGTGCTGTTCTTCGATTATCTCAGACCCGGCCTTGTGACTATGATATACCAAGTTTCCTTTATAACTAGTGCAGAAAGCATCTTGTTTCCTTCCTGGGCGTGCAAACCAGGGTGGCGTAAATGCTAGCCAAGCTCTCTACCACCAAGCTGCACCCCAACCCCTCAACTCAGTTATTTTCAATACACAAGTTTTCACCCCATGCTGTGCTCAGGCGTCCTTCCCCACAGACTCACTCTCTTCAATTTAAACCAGTTTTCTTGAGCAGCTTCCTTGTCCTCTCAAATTCCTGAGCACTGTGTCTTTGACTCTTGGCTTTATAGCAGAACACACACCACATTCTGTCCATTTTCACTTCAACATAGCTCCCTTTCTTTCACTTCCTCTTCCTCTCCAGAATACTCTCCTCTCACTGCTTCATGCCCGTGTTGCCAACATGGTCTGGCTAGCCCCTAACTCACAGTTCCAAGGTGTGAGACCAGATCTACCTCCCCAAGAGCAGGTGGACTCCTCCAACTGCCTGCTAGGGCACCCCTGCCCAGCAGCCTCCCTGTGGGTGCCAGCTCTGCTGCCTGGTGCGCCTATTCTCTACTCGTGACTCCCCCTCCTCCCAGGCTGCCCATTCTTCTTCCTGCTCAGGGGGCCAGGGAACTCCTAAGACCTGTCATCCTGATGAATAGGATATCAATGTTCTCTGATGGTACCAGCTATTTTTCCTGTGGCAAGATAAGGTCTTTAATTCTTTTCATAAATATCACCAAGCCAGGTAAAATATGAGGCACATGAAGTCTAACCCAACACCTGTGCAATCAATTTAGAAAATCTAAAATCAAAACTGGATTTCAAGTACTCAGGTACATGAAGTACTCAATTACTGAACTTGTAGATATTTCACAACACAGTAGGTTTCCTATGCTGTATCAGAAAAGGTGAGGGGGTCGCAATTCAAAACTTATTCTTCTTTGAAGAACTTGTTTATAATTCCCCTACCTGGCCACTCATTTGGGAGCCATAAAACCTATTTTACCCCAAGCCAAGAAGCCTATAAATCTCAAAGTAATCTGAATCACCAGTTACAAAAGTCACTCAATTCTTGAGAAGAAAAGAACCTTTAATGATGTCTTAGCAATTGGGAAGGGAAAGGTGAGAAAGGGAGGAGGGAAGTTCTGACAGAGAAGTTAAGAGCACAGTTAGCCACACAACTGCCATTTAATCTCCCAGCAATTATTCAAGGTGCTTGTTCCACACCCCCACCAACTCTATCTAGTCATAAATAGTTAAGAGATGAAATGATAGCCATCCATCTTTTTTTTTAACCAAAACATAAATCCTGTTTCATACTAGACAAAATTAAATGATTTTTGTCATTCCAACATTTCAAAAACAACACAACAAATAAATACATATTCAGGAAAGATCAAGTGATAAATTCATATACCATCAAATTTAACTAACTAAATTTTATATATATTCAAGTATCCATAAATCAAATTTTCCCAATTCTGAAGCCATCCATCTTCTTAGAGGGAGGACAGCTACGGGGTGACAAATAATATGACTATACTTATAGAAGGATTATAGATTATATGGTTATTATCTACTTAATCCTCCCTTTTTGGAAAAAAAAAAACCCTCCGTTGGTTTTTTTGTTTATTTTTCTTCTTGGTGAAGGGAAAAAATATCCCTTTGCTTTGGGAAGTGAAGGGTAAGGGCCTGTCGCTTAGCTTGGTTTACTCCATCTTGTCCTAAATCAGGAACTCTAAATTAGCAATCCCAGTGCGAGGCCAAGTTCTTGAAGTTCACCTTTTGTGTTTGTTTTCAGTTGTTCAACACTTACATGCTGTGTGACCTCACACCGACTGGCTCACTGTGAGACCCTTTCAGATGCCTCATTCAGGTTTAAATTACTATGTTTGTGATCCTGGGATTTTTTTCCCCACAGTATCTGAGACAGTAAGATGCTATTTTAGACTTCAGAGCCCATGTGGGGACAAACTTCGTGAGCTGTGACATTCTTAAGATGTGGCCAAATGCAAATCTAGAAATGGCATCAATGGATTTGAGGCCTAAGTCGTGTGGAGAGCTGGAGAAGGAAGTCCTATGTAGTCAACAAGGTTTGGGAACCAGTACAGCGGCTGTGTGGACACCAGCCACTTCAGTCTTGTCCTCTAGGAAAGTGTGTGGATGGGGGGAAAGTGGGTAGATATTCAGCTCATACAGCTGAGTCAATGCCTCTACAGACAGAGGCCAAAGGATGGTATGGTTCACAAGTGTCTCCCAGAGGCAAACTGTCCAACCTTTCTGAAAGTGAAAGAGTGTAGATGTGAGCATCATTATAAAAATCTCCTCCTCCTTTTCAGAATTTGATTAATTTTAGAATTGATTAATTTCTTTTTGTTATAGGGATCAAAATTTTTAAAAACTATTAATTCTTTAAAATGCCATACTTACATAGTCTCAAAAAGCAGTGTATAAAAATATTAATCTTAAGGGAATTTCTGATACTCTCTTCCCCTTCAGTGGTTTAAAATACTTTGAAGGGACAGTTTGCTTCTTGTGTTGCCAGTTTTTCTCACCCTAGGCCCCAAGAGACCTGAGTCCTTAGCTATCCACGTATCTAATGAATTAGCCACTGTTCCTATCCATCTAGAATGTTTCTGTCCACATATCTGGTGGGTGACGGTTCTCCATGGGCCCCTCGTGTTTCTGCATGCATCACTAGTGGCACTGGCCACCTTTTTTCTGGACTGTCTTTTCAAGGATATTTGTAGGACAGCTGGTCTTGGAAGAGAGAAATTGTCTTTACCCATGAGGAAAGATTTGAGTTTTCTAAAACTTGGGTTCTTCTATAATATTCCACAGACAGCTGTTAACTGAACCCTGCTGCATCATCCTGTGGGAAACTGGACTTGGGACAGGGGCAAGAAAACAACGATGATACTCTGGCTAATGTTACTGGTGTGGTTAACAGAGTCCTTTGGCTGTAGCTGGGAATCCCATGTCCTCTGAACGCATCATAAATCTCTGATCAGCTAACGTAGTAGCATGTAAGCAGGGTAAAATTTCATGCCCATCACAGTTCTTGACAGTATTATCTTAGGGAGACCCAAGAAAAGTTGGGTCATTTTTATGTGTTTTATGGTCATGACACCCCAGATGAGAAAGTCTGGGTCAAAGATCTAAACTGAGTAGGGGGTGGTAGCTCATGTCTGTCATCCTAGCTACGTGGGAGGCAAAGATTCTGAGGATTACAGCTCAAGGTCGGCCCAGGCAAAAAGCTATCAAGACCCCACCTCAAACAATAGCTGGCCTTGGTAGTGTACCAATTATGCCATCCTCAAGGTGCAAGGCCAGCCTGGGCAAAAAAATCACGAGACCCTACCTAACACCAAAAAGATTGAGGGTATGACTTGATAAGTGCAAGACTCTGAATTCAAACCCTAGTACCACCAAAAAAAGAAAAAAAGAGATCAAAAATGACTGTTGATATCAGAATAAAAGGCTCAATTATATACTAAAGTATGCACGCACATGTACAATGAAACAAAGTTTGAGTGTCTTCTCTGCCACTTCTAAAATGGAAACTTTAAAAAAAAAAAAACCTATTTTCTCCTTCTACTACCCCTTTAATGAAGGATTTCTGATTGGTAAGGCTGGTGTGAGCAGAAACCATAATTCTATTTAATGATGAGCTTCTGACCAGTCACAAAAAGTACCTAAGTGCCACAAGTTTCTTGAAAGCGAAGTTGTGGTTTATAAAAATGCAGAAAGAAGCCAGCCCTTCCTAAAAAGCTCAGAAACCACATTTACCAAAATGGGAACAAATTAAAGAGAACCACTGAAATCTGCTCACTACCTTCCCAATTTAACACTCTCAATTGAAAGATTCTTCGACAGGGCGGCTCTGTCATTTCCAGTACAGAGGAGCCAATGTCACCCCCTTCCTTTGAGGGGAACTGTGCCCTTCTCAAGGAAAGGGGACCAGTAGAAACAAGTCTGCCTCGATAAAAATGCAAAGAGTCCACATCACTAACTCAAAAGCGTGTCCTGAAAAT